GTGTGAAGGGGTCGCTTCTGTGAGAATTTATAATAGTTGAATTCTCTAAAGCACTCTTGAAAACCAAGAGTTGTTTAGGGCCAAAATGAATATAATCATGAGAACCAATTGTGTTAGGAAAAAGACTGTAAATTCTATTCAATATGATTTATCAAACAACTGAATAGTTTAAGACATTACGTTCACTATTTGGCCGGTAAGTTCGATGGGCTATCATTAGGGAAGGTTCAAAACCAAAAACTACCTATTTCGATGCACAATATTTTCAAAGATGTACTCTCTATAGTGTATCCGTATTATCATTTGCATAATAACAACCAATTTTTCATTCATGTGGGAGATTGTTAGACCAAAATAATTTTTTAAGTGATAAAATTGATTTTTTGGTCGACTTTGAGCCTAAATTAAAGTGGCACCCGTTCGTTGTTTTGAGTAACTATTGTGGGTTCATATTCTACTCCATAAGAAGAATAACATAGTATATTCACTTGCTCAAATCGAGTAAGAAATGAGTGAGAAAATAGGCTTCAAAGTGGCCCTCTTGAAATGTGAAAATAGAGGTTGTGTAATGTGGTATTTGACACCAATTTCACATTGGTTGAGAAAGAAGTTCTAAGTGGACATATATAAGCCTAGTTTGCTCTATGGGATTGGGCTCCAAGGGGTATCACAATTTTATGAGCGAAGTGAGTACCTACATATCTTCGGTTCTATCACACACACGTGCGCATCGCTGGGCATGGGCTCAAGCACAGGTACGGGTGTGGTTAGACCGAGCCCTATCTTTTTGGAGAAAATTTGTTTAATTAATTGAGCGAGAATTTCTAAACCAAAATTAAATTTCGATACTTGTTCGGATTGGTTCTGAGGATATTTTCCAATTAGTCCAAAATTTTGAGTTGTGTTTGTTCATAGAGAACAGTTACACAAGTGGTGTCTTATGTCTGCTGGGTTGCATCCGTTCAAATAGTGACTGTCCGGATTAGTCATCATTCTCTCTATAAATAACTCAGTTACATAATTATTTTGCATTCAATTCATTCATTAGTTCATGTTCAGAGCTAAGCCAGATATTAGTGCATTGCATTTCGGCATTAAGACAATCTACATTTAGAGAGTACACAACACAATTTGTAGTTCGCTAGACGAGTAAATTGGAGTGCTACTTCTACTCGTGTAAAAATCATTTTATCTTTGGAGGCAGACACTTGATATTCCATAAGCACCATGTGTGGGGGCAAAATCTGTCTTAAGGACATAGTGTCAAACACTAATCTTGATCTACATAAAGTTCAATAATAGTTCCTGTTCTACAACCGGGTTAGTATTTATATTGGTTTGACAAACAGTTATATGTAACTGTTTCTTTAAGACTATTGTAACTGTTTCGTTTATTCTTCCCCAATTATTTTACTTTTCTGTATAACTGTTTCACATTTGGTTGTTACTGTTTTGTTATACATTACATGTTTCAAATAAAAAATTTCAATAAATGATTTTATTATCTTTGGAATATCACAAACAAATATAAATTTTTCATCCTTTACATAAACTGTTTGTATGCAAGAGAATTTCATTTCGAAACTGCAATTGAATTTACAAACGGTAAGTTTGAGCAGGTAATACAAATTAATTAATTGTTTTTGTCAAGCCATTCAAGAATGCCTTTCTCTGATTCAGAGAGCTGCTCTTTTTTCTGCCTCAAAGATCCTTCTAACAAACCGAAGTAATCCCTGTAGTTGCGCTTGTAGTAACTCTCTAGTCTCTGCAAAGGGCAGAACAGAAAAGAGGGAAAGAAGTGAGATAAACAGTACTTGACAAGTGTGTTTCAATACTTTTCCGTTTTGTACAAAATCCCAATGGATATGTTATCTCAGATGCAATGGATGCACTCCACAGAACACTGGTGTTTACCTCCTTATCATTCTTGGTCTTGCTTTCCTCTGATTTCTTCAGATATTCTGAGGAAACATTTCAGCGGGTAAGCTCTCGAAAGAAACAGTTGTGAAGTTGAGCAATGAGAGAAAAGTGTACATAAGCATCTTAGTGATCAAAATAAGCAACAAAAAGCTAATAATAGCCGTATTGGAAGAATAATCTCATCAATTTACACCTACTTTTTAGAAGCTCAGTCCTGGAGTCATTGACTTGGATGACTGCAATTGCAGTTGAAAGGAGAAGCCCTCTCCTTCCTCTCTCTGTACCTCTTGTTCTTATTCTTCCTTCTCTGTTATCTATTGCTTGTACTTTATAGGAAATGACGGTACTTGCCATAGCTGTTAAGGCCATGGGGATTATTGATTTATGTTGAACTCTCTCTCTCTCTCCCTCCCCACAACCACAAGTTTGTGATATTATAATGATGAGGACAATGGGTTCCCATGGTCGATATAGTTTTGTATTTCAAGTAAAAAGGATAGGTACCGTATTCAGTACCAGCTAAAATATACATTTTAAAAAAAAATATTACATAATCCAAATGAATATTATTATTTAGATGAGTGCGGGATGAATGAGCTCCACTGAAAAAATTGATGGGATCCACTCATTTAAGTGATAATATACATTTAAATTACAAATTTTTTAGTTTTATTTAAGTTTTATAGCATTACTCTTCTTAAAAAAGGTTAGTTATAAGTTGTTTAACGTCAAATTATCACGGAGAGAACTTAATTGGGTTAAATTACAAGTGGAAAAAAAAAAGTTGGATCGATAACTAAACATTAAGATTGAGCTTAACACGGTTCCAAACATCCCTATTTCATTCTTACCTCACCAGTTATAATATCATCCTTATAACTTATAATACGGTGCCAAAAAATAATTCTTCACTACCATCCATTGCATTGCTTAAATATTAAAATGACGCAATAACCCATGAGCATGTTTGGCTCCTCTGATTGTGTGGCTTATAGTACTTTTCTTTTATTTTTTTTTACATAAATGGATAAACAAATAAACTACTCTATATATCTATGAAGTATTATCTATTAGCACCACACAATTCTCTACGGAAAACTTATTGTACTTGTGTCAGATCCGAAGTTAAGATCCCGTTGTGTGTTCTATGCACTGAAGAGTAAATTTAGCCCATCGAATTGTCGTTGCTATAAAAATTCAAAATCAAGTACTGAACGAACAAATTTGGATTCTTACCTACTGTACCAACCACTCGGTGGTACTTCTAGAATTTTTCAACAGTTCCTAAAATCCTACCTTTAAAATGTGAAAAAGGATCCGAAGTCAATGACTGTGTCATGGGGCGTTCGTTTGGAAGACCACTGTACCATAAATTAAATTGTTCACATGAGTACAAATTGGGAAATTTAGGTCACTAAAAGCTAAGTTTTCTAACTTTATTTTCTCATTTCTTAGAATTTTAATTTATTTTAAAACATTCACTCTTATCAGATTGCACCAAATGGTCCAACTACCCCTCCACTACCTAATAACTACTCATTTGTTTGTTTTAAACCACTTTCTGTCATCTTAACTTCTTTATAATTCTATATCTAACTTTCTAACTTCTTAAATTGTAGGATGATTAACGATAGAAAGGAAGGGAGAGTGGGTGGAAGGGAATGTAGGGGTCCAACTTGGGCGGGTATACTTCTCTTCCCTCTTTCAGCCTCCCTCCCTCAATCATCACTCATCTGAGTCGTCTCAGACTCTCAGCTTTCCTCTCTTACTTGTCGCTTCTCCCTCTCTCATTCTCTCTTTCTCTCTTCATCTGCGTCTTACCCTTCATCTCAGATCACTTAAAAAAGATAAATCTACACTTGAAAAAATTAAATCTACACATAAAAAAATCAACATGAATTAAGTAACTCAAGTCCAACCCCATCTTTAATTCGAATTAAGTAACACAAATTTAACTTAAGCCCGCTTAATTTAAACTTGGGTAGTACTCGGGTTGAGGACCTCGACTTAAGGTAGGGTTAGAGTTGAATATTATATACTTAGAATTGAATTAGAATTGACCTCTCAATCTACTCAACCCATTTGAGTCACACCCCTAAGGGAAAGGGAAGTGGGTGAGATATGAATTTCGTGCATTGCACTCATAAGTTGATTTTTTTGCCTCTAATAAGCCAAGATGCCCCCATTTTAGTGACCAGAAATAAGACCAAAATCAATAAATGCTAATCCTTTGTTCACATGACATGCCAAACAGAGCGAGAAATGCTAAGAAATTTTCCAAAACTATTCATTGAAGTTTATTTTCCAAATCAATTTTCCAAACTAACTCTTAACTCTCCATCATCTATCCTGTTTTGACTTTCCTNTTCCATCATTTATCCTTTCATCCAATTTTCCAAACTAACTCTTAACTCTCCATCATCTATCCTGTTTTGACTTTCCTAAAAACCCTCAAATATCAAGATGGGTGAACGTTAATTTTCATACAATACGTTGTATTTATCATATAAAATGAATTAAAATGTGCTAAAATACATGCAAAACTATTCATTGAAGTTTATTAAACAAAACTTCCCCCTCAATTTTACCACTTAATTATCTGAGTACACCTAAATCAACCAATTCCTTATACAATCAACAATTTCAACCCAAAAAATCAAAGAATCCAACAATTTGCACTCAAGTCACACTTAATTTTACTAAAGAATATAGACATTAGCAGGTACAGTCTTGAAATTCGAAAACATGAAGGGGTCATGCTTCCAGTTGGCTTGAAGATGCTGTCATCCCTGCCTATAGTAGCAGGAATCTTGTGCATCTTTTCAATCCATGTATAATTTTTTCCCACTGATGAAAATATCAATAAGTTTAAACAAATCTAAGTCAACAAGACGAAAAAAAAAAAACACAAAATAATAATATTAAAAAAAATAGAATGTAGAACTCGATTCAAGGCACGCTATGGAAGGCGCTCACTTTAGAGTAGAATATCATCGTCATCTAGTTGCAAATAGCCACTAACGTCCTATTCCCAAGATACAACGAACAAAGCAAGAACTATTAGTGTGCACTCAAACAAAAAATCAGACGAACTTGAATAAAACTTTAGTTGCCTTCTTAAAATAAAAACTTCTTGGACACTCAAAAGACTCGCAAGAGGAAATAAGTTCAAGAAAAGAATCTAATAAAATGGAATACTAAAACCAAGTGAATGGAAGCCTTTTTATAGACAAAAATGACACATTATCCTAAAAGTCAGAAATATAAACATCACAACTGTTAATCTGTAAAAGTTGTGACTATTCATTAGGTTCTAACCATTTTTACCTAAAGTCATGATTACTCATGAAACTGTGACCATTCATGAACTAAGGTTGTGACTACTCACTTCTAAAAACTATTACTCTTGGATTAAAAGTTGAGTTACTTAATTTAATTTTTATTATTATTTAAAATTTTAAAGCATGCTATAATACATAAAAATCAAGAGTTCATTTCCCCTCTCAATGTAATTTTCCACTCATGACACTCTTTAACTGTTCAAACTTTGGCTGGAAAGAAAGTGTCTAACATGATTATTAGGTACGCCTTGCTACCCTGTTAATGCATCCCTCCCACCTAAATCATTCTTCCTTTTGTATTGTGAAAACATTATATATTTGGGAATGTCAAAATGTCAAGGAAAGTTTATAACACCACCATAACAAGTAGTTTTTGCTTCATCATAGAAGTAAGTTAAGGAAAGAAATTCAGGAACAGTTTCCACAGAAAACTGAGTACATTGCTAGGTGGTAGTGGAATTTTCTAGCAAATTAAGGAGCATTAACACCCTCATTTGTTTACACCACTTCAAATATAACTCTGGGATGTCGAACACTATAGGGCCTCATCTTGACTCCTGTTCAGTTCCAAGGATCTCACCATCTGAGCTTAAAGGGGAAGTACTGCAAAAAATTATATCCAACTTAATAAAACAAACAAAAGAATATTATAGTTACCTAACTGTGGATTCATCATGTGAAATTCACCTTTTCAATGAGGGAGAGATAGTATGGTTTGACCTTTTCCACATCGATCCGAACTTTGCTCTTGCTGTAGAGGTCATATTTGCTACACATAGTTTGTAAAAGCACCAATTGTTTGTTAGTTAATGCAATTGAAACGTTCTAAAACAAGACAATGAACAAATCAAGTGAACACAAAGTGGGATCACACTTGAAAATGTGAAGCCATTTCAGATTCTCGACATCCTCCTCGTTCATCAGGTGTTTGTATGCTCCTGACGTATGCAATGCTACATCATGGTGGATGAGAATGTTCATTAGCAATAGATGAACTTGAGTATGGTTTATTTTGGCATTTATGTAGGAAATCAATACTTACGATAAAAGGAGTGGTATCGGATGATGAACAATGCAGCAGATGGTAAAGTAGTTTTATTTTCCTTAGCCACCTTCATGATTAAGACAGAATCACTAAATTATCTTTCCCAATTAGATTGTAGTGTTCATAGTAATACAAAAGAATTTAAGACTATTAAAGTATAGGAAATTTACATAATTTGCAGAAGATACATACCAAATACATGTAGTCATCGTGCCCCCAAGACATCATTACATTTTCGAGTCCACATCCTTCAGAGTAAACCCCATATTTGGTGTTGTAAGCAGGATTGTTGTAATCTGGATTGTCTGCAAAGTACTGCAATACAAGAAATTTGGAGAATTTATGTCGGTCGTGTGGCCACAATTGTATCTTAGACTTACTGCAGATTGGTCGAAAGAAGGACCTTGTGATGAACAATTGAATCATCGAAAGCACAGCCAATAGGGAATGTGTCACCTGTGGCAAAATTGCTTTCACTATATCAAAAAAATTCTAAATATGGTTGTTGCAAATCTTGCTGTTTTGACAGATTCCTTTACCGACAACAGCCCATTGAGGAAGTCCTCCAAAGCTAGGAAGAAGAAGAACTTTTCCAAGATCTGAAATCCAGGCAATGTTTGTGAATCACTTAAAAAACTAACAAAATTGCAATGGCCAGTTAAAGAAACAAATAAGCTCTAGCAGTAAGCACACTTCATGAGCAGAGTATAATATAATTGGAATTCTATGTAAACTATCATACACAGAAACAGACTAAAACAAACACACACACACACAAAACTTAATCTCCGTAATGCACAACTCTTGATATTAATTACAACATTTCAGTCTTGAAATGAAATGAAGTAATTTAGATCGGGTAATATACCATGAATAAGGCCTGTCAAGTGCAACCAATCTTCATCAGGATAGTCTTTCCTTATTGCTTCAGCTGTTTGCAGCAAGTGCTCAATCTGAGGTTCATCCAAGTCAGGATCACTATCATCCACAACATCATTCAGCAGTTCACAGCATTCCCATATGCTCATCTCCACTCTGTTCAATTTCCCATACTCCTCCATCATCCTCTTCACCTGCA